CTACTTCTGATTCACTTCAATTTGTTGCTGTCCCTATATTGCTCCCCTTTTTCCCATCGTCCAAGGATGAACTTTACATAGCTGAGAATACACTGTGCACTGTGCAGGTAGGGGCTCTATTGACGAACTCCATTCGTAGCCCACCTAAATACCTCTACTCTTTGCTTTTTGCTCTGCACATAGATCACCTCTTCAGCAAAACGTTTAATCCAAAGAGTAAGTGACATTTTGATATTAGTAAAAGTAAATACACATAAATAGTCAAGGGTATGATCCAAGTAAGCATGGCTAGACAGTTTTGAAAACCCATTCATGATGCTTAAACACATACAGCAAAAACAGAGAAAACTAATAGTCTGGGGACAGTGCACTGGATAAGAAAACTGGATATGGTACAAACAAAAACAAAAATTAAAAAATACAGATATGTTTTATCATAGTATCATTTACTTTCAGTAAATATGAATTATGCAAAGTAGCACCCCTCACTAAGGCAGTGTTCATATGTTTATAATATAGTCTGATTCATATTCACCTACTCTTTGGTCCTTTTATCCATCTCCCTCCACTAACCCCTCTTGCCTCCCATATCCCCATAGTACCCAATTTACTCTGATTTCTATTTATTTCCTTAAATGCCACCCACTCATGTAATACATCTTCTTGTGAGCCTGGTGTATTTGACTTAACATGATGATTTTTAATTTTCCCCATGTTCCAACAATTTCCTTGATTTTACTCCTCTCTAGTTCTGTGGAACCATGAATCTGAATAAACTCTTCTTCAAGTTGCCTTAGTCATGTGCTTTATCACAGCAACAGAAAAGTAACTAAGATAATAATTAAGTATCTTCCCTCCAAATCTAATTATGTCTCCATATATATCAATGGAGGAAAAACAAACAACAACAAAAACCCACTGGACAATACACAGATCAGATGAGTACCATCTACATTCAATCTCAACATTGGAGTCTCAACAACCTACCATTAAATGCCTCTTGATATGATATGAAAGAACTTTGTGTCACTCTTACTCTTAAACTAAATAAATACCTAAATCTAATTGAAAGAAAATTAGGGGTAAATGAATTAAAAAAAACAACAACAAAGATATCAATGTACTTTAAACAAAACAAACCCTATTTGACATGTGAGAATGATATTAAGTAAAAGAAACCAACAGTTATGGCAACCAAATATAACAGATAACACTGACTGGGTCAAAACAGATGAGAAAGAGGGCCTCAAACTGTGTCAGGGTGGCTTCATCCTTCCTTCAAAGCTTTCTACCGAATTTAGGCATGGCACTGACTGACTGCTCCAGTTCACAGACACTCCTGCAGATGTCTGCCTAAGGTTATTTGACCTTTACTTGAAAGAGGAAAAAAATCAAAGGTGGTAAATGTTACCCATTAGTAAAAATCCTCATAAAGAGGATTGCTGTCAAATATTTTACTGTCCCCATTTCTTGTATGTTTGAAATTACAAAAGGGATAGGGATCAAAGATTAAAGCAAGATCTTAAATGCAGAATCCAGAAAATATAAAAGAACTCAGTCAAGTGCTACAGTATCTCCTCTATCAGGGAAAGTCATGGCAAACAGTGGAGGAGCTGGGATTATACAACCTGACAAAGACACTCAGAGAGAATACCAACAGACTGAAATTACAAAACGTACCTTCAATAGAAAATTAATTTGCTGAACCAAGCAATAGCTGGGGCATCATTTCTACTATTAAATTAGTTGACATCCCCCCCCAAGTCTAAAATATTTCTCATGTATCAACTAAACCATGAGGCAGAAAATAAGTGAATGGAAGTGGAGTTTTTCTAATCTCTGACAAAGTGAAATACCTGTTCAAGGAGGCAAACAAATGGGTGAGACTTAAACACTAAAATTATCAGAGATAAATTATTTAAGGAATAAAAACCAAGGAAGGATCAAGTCTCAAAATCATTTATAAGGTAATGCACTTTGATAACATGCCAGCATAATGTAATTTGTACATGGCTTTCATCTTATCTGCTAACCCAAGAATCTAATCCTACAAGTGACTTCGATGGAGTCAACAGAAGTCTGATGAGTTCTGCCCTGCATGGCTTTGGCTTAGTACTCTAAACACCAGACCTTTGGGAGCAGCTGCCTTAAAACAAAGCTTCCACAGTTATTTGTGTAGGAAGTGCTAGCTGATGCATATAGAACCTCCTTCCCCCAAAAAAGACTAATATTTTAGTTGGATATGCAAAGGCAAAACACAAGTTACAATCTGCAGGTCATGGACAATGATGAACACATGCTCTTAAGGAAAGCATTACACTCTAATAGCTCTCAAGTCACAAATCCTCATCCTGGTGGGGATTAGCTTTATATTTTCAGGCAACTTAGATAACCTCTCAGCTTTAATGTCAATGATAAAATGTATTTTATCATATATATCTTTCAGAATTAGAATCACAAGTGTGTATATGTATATGTGTATATGAACACATTTATGTGTTCACATGTGAATATACACATATACTTATAGTCAATTGGCATCTAATAAAATATACTTCTAACTTACTATGTTTCAATTGAACTATAATACTAATTAATCTCTAACACATCATCAGGGTTTTGCTTATAAACTTTGCTTCATTCTAAAATGAACAATTTTTATTTTCCTTTGATTGATTTTTTTTTAAAGTCTAGTGATCCAGTAGAAGTTTGGAGTTAACACTTAAAAGAGGTGAGAATTGTATTGAATAGTCATAATTAACAATTTTATCTAGCTAAGGTCTTTGACGTTAACCAGGAGGGAGGTGAGAATTGAATTCTAAAATTTGAGAATAAACTGACTGTGAAGGAAGAGCAGCATGGCTTGGGAAGGATTTAAAGGAAGTCAAAAGCTCAGTCACCAGCGTCTCTGCAAGCAACTATACTTGATCCTAAGAGAATCTTCCTCTGCCTTAAAGAGAAAGAAAAGGCAGTAAGGCTAAAAATGGAAAGCATATATTTTTGAAAAATAACTAGGAACTTTTCAAAGACTATATAGAATTGTAAAATATTACTATGGCAATGTATGACAACTATCCATAATTATACTGACATAGAAGGAACCAGAAAAACTCACTCATGTTGGTGGGTGGGGATAGGGGGCTAAGTGCTGAAAGAGTGACTTTCTCAAAGTGTCTCCAACTCCCTTTGAGGCTGTTCAAAACACAGGTATATACAATCAGGCATGAAGACACACACTTGTAATCCTAAAGCTATAGACTGCAAACTGAAGGCCATTCAAGGCCACAGAGCTAGTTTCACATACACAGTGAGCTACATACACATACAACAGACACATACAGATAATGGCATATAACTCACTGGGAACAATCAGTTTGCAATGAACAAAAGACATGAATGCTATCTAGGTAACAAACACAAAAGATCTTCAAAATTAATATACATATAAAAGGCATTAAGCATCATGAGCCATTATGAAAATATTCAGTTGTTTTATTTGAACAAGCTGAATATGCTTTATCCACAATACTTGTTATATTAAGTTTTGAGTTTATTATCATTTCAGATTTTTAAAATATATTCATAGATAATCTAAAAAATTGGATAGGAGGACCAAATCTACATATGATATTCATTTGTTTCACAATATTTGGCATATACCTGACATATATAGCCTACAGGTAATTTTGCAAACTAGTTTGCCTCCTTTTGATTGTGCCCAGCACAGACACACTGATAAACTGCAGAACATATGCACTATGAAATTATTATTTACTAATAAAAAGAACAAGCTGTTGACAAATGCAACAACTTGGTGGTGTTGGAGAAATTATGCTAACTAAAAAAGAAGGGCTACAAAAGATTCTACAATGATTAAATTTCCATAACATTCTTGAAATAACAAAATTATACAAATGGGAAATCAATCAGCTAGCTGCCAAATTTAAGGCACAGAATGGAATATGGAGTAGAGAAGGCTACAAAAAATGGTGATCTAACCCCTCTGTATCTCGACAGATCAATATCAATTTTTTGCTGACAATATGGTACTATAGCTTTGCAAGATGTAACTACTGGAAGGTGCTGGAGAAGCCATCTATAGGAAACTATGATTTTAATATAGATGTCGTCCAAACTCGTGTGTTGAAGGCATGGTATGCAGGTGTTGGTAGTACTGAGAAGTTACTGAGTCATGCATGAAAGCCTGTAACTTCACATGTGTGTGTACATTATATAGCGTGTACACACACACACACACACACACACACACACACAAATGGAGGTTTGATTCACTGATAAACCCAGAGCTGAATAGGCTATAAAGAGATGGTTTCTCATATGAAAAACAAGGCTGCTGGGGTGTGCCTTTGAGAGCTTTATCTCATCCCTGGATCCTTGACCTATTTTTGGGCTGCCTCCCTTCAAAGACTGCAGGCTCCAAAACACAAAACCAAGTGAAAATAAACTGCAATCTCTGAAAACTTGACCCAAAATGAATCCTACCCTACTTCATGCAGACTTTCCTTAGCCACAGAAATGGAAAGTAGAACAAAGGGTCTCTTTATAACTTCTAACAATTCCTTACTTGTTACTCTATCATTATCTCAGTATGTACCGCACATGCATTAGAAGTGGTCTTTCAAAAATCTCTTTCTGACAAACCCTTCACTCCTTTCAAATCGCTTACCTCTGTCATCTACTAAGAAGTTTGTAATGATTAGAAGGACCAAAAGTAAATGGACTTCCCTAGAAAAATGAGAGTTCCTTTATGAACATTCTAAAGGAAGTACACAACAGAGAACTACTTCATAGGCCACAGCCATTACCTCCTGATCTACAAACAAAAGTTAAGACAAAATAATGAGAAGTTAGTTTTAACAAATGCTCGTGACACTGGTCAATATTCTGATTTACTACTTACTTTTTCCATTCAGTCTATCTTAATAGAAGCATATGATCTGGGATATGGCTTCTTCCAAGTATTTACATGCATCAATTACCTGCAAACAGAGCACTGTCGTTGAGGCTGGAGAGCAGTGAACATAACGATCATGGAGTAGTTTCGAGGTGGGGCCTTCACAAACTTGCGGAACTTGTCGCCATTCATTCGGAAGATAGAGCGCCTGGAGCTCCATTCCATCAACTGTTCCACCTTTTCAGCCAAAAGGTTCTGTGATTAGATAGAATTAAAAGTTACAAGGGTGTTCCTCCCTTGGAGTCACTTCCATTCTCCTGTGTTCTCACTTTCCCTTAGGAAGTCAACATTTGTTATGCTATAAATAATTCATGAGAAACTAAAAATTTTCATATTAATTTCATATAAATAGAATTATATCAAGCCTATATTCTTAATCTAAATTAATCTTTGTTAATGGCCTTTATTTGAGTAAATATATTAATTCCTTATTGACCTGAGTTGCACAGAATATTTCATTTTTACAAATGGCATTAAAGTCTATAAAAAAGGTATTAAAGAAAATCAAATTTCTGTCCTCAGGAAAAAAAATAGAATACATTTCCCTGATCTTCACCCTAAATGAAGATAAAAATTCTCTTCATTCTATAAAACAGCCAGCCAGCAAAAGAAGCCAGCACCAAGTAGAAGACACACAGATAGGCTAGAGATGTGAATACCCTAAGAATGACAAAGCAACAAGTGCAGGTTTGGTCTACTATCTTCTAGGCAGGTTGCTGAAGAAGCCAGCAACATAGGAATATGAATGGTGAAGACAAAACAGACTTAAGCAAACTTTTGCTGTTCAAAGGGCAGGGAAAGGACAATCCAGTAAGTGTGTGTGTGTGTGTGTGTGTGTGTGTGTGTGTGTGTGTACTTATTTTTCCTTACCCCCTTTAAGCATACATAGTAGAACTAGAACTTTAATTTCTAAATGGGAAGTAAACAACCTGTCTGTCTGTCTTTCATATTTGAGGTTTTAAAATTTTAGGTTATGTCTGTAAATTGCCTTATTTCAAAGAGTAAAGTTCTTGGTATTATTAGGAGGCACTTCTCCATGGACCACTCATGTTCCAGGCTCCTACATACCTGAGCACAATTGTAAACAGGTTTGCTGTGCTGTCTTTTCAAAGACATTGTTATATAAAATGCTGTGAAGATTAGGATAGCATCTCCCTCCTGGCCAGTGGTTAGATTTACTTCTCCATAAAAACGGAAACTTTTTTTTTTCCCTGTCTCCATGGTTAAGGTTGGACAGATTTGCTAGTAGTTCCTTCAAAAGCTTTGTCTTTTCACACCAGGGAAGCTGCCACCTCAGGCCAGTAAAGCAGCTGTTATCTGAGCAGAAGGATTTGAGTTCTATTCTCCTGCACCTAGTGAAGTCTGAGTGTGGCCCAGCACACCTCTATCCACTAGTGTTGACTGTGAAATGGGGCAGTTTACAGAGCTCCAGCTAGCCTAGCTGACTTATGAGCTCCAGATTCAGTGAGAGACCCTGCCTCATGAAATAGAATACAACATCCACTCTAGTTTCCCTGTATAACATAAACACACACATTCATACCCACCCCTGCACATACATATAGACATAAACATGTATAAACATGTGTATGTCTCTCTCTTCTGTCTCTCCCTCCCTCTCTCTCTCTCTCTCTCTCTCTCTCTCTCTCTCTCTCTCTCTCTCTCTCGCACACACACACACACACACACACACACACACAAACGACTGACTGCAGCTTTGGATTCTTGAGCTGTCAAATAAAACCCCTGATTGCATATCATCCACTTAGGTCACTTGGTTCATATTGGGATGCAAATGGAATCATTAAATTCTCACCCTGAGAAATATCTCTGGGAATTTCTTCTAGTCTCTGAAATTATGACACATTGTAAGTTGATTGAAACACTTAGCTTTTAACAGTTGTGTGTTTTAACAGTTGACTGATAGATGTTGGTATAATTATGTGGCTAAACCACTCCACCACCTGTAACTTGCATAAATTCAAAGCATGCTATGAATATTTGTGTTTAGTGAAAAAAGTATGTCTCATTAGAAACTCCCCTAGGAATCAGCAAGGTAGCAGTTTCTAAGACTAGATTCCCTCTGCCCCCTCAGGGACTCTGCTTGATCTCTGGTTTGGAGACTCTTTTTCCTTAAAGATCACAATTCTTAAATATTTAAGACACATTTTACATTTATATTGCACCTATTAGTTAAATTGCAAAAGCTTAAATTAACTTTTGGGTAGCATTGATTCATTGAGCATTAGAGTGACCAGTTCAAGACTTTTATAGAAATAGCCGAAGTATCTAACAGTTTTCTGTAAGGCAAGCATTGAGCTGAATGTGTGTTCCTATCTGTCTTCTCAGAATTAAGACTAAGAACTAACCTTGCCTGTATAGTTCTTAACTCTTTGGGGCATGTTGATGGGGCAGGACAATTTCTTCCCAGTTTTTGTTTTTTTCATTTTAATAAGATTATTAGTCTCCTTATAAAAATGTACTCAGACTTTCAGGAAGAATTAACAGTTAACTTTATCTGCATCTAAATAGATTGTTTGCCATTTATAGTTAATTTTAGTTCTTGCCTCTTTGTTAGAGCCAAATCACCTCATAGAAAAAGCCAACAAGCAATTAACCCAATAATTAGCTATAATTCTTTTTCTTACAGTTAGTCCTTATATTACAACTTGAATACTTTATGCCCATTCTTTAGCCAGGCTCTTTCCATCCTTTCCATTTCTTTTGATTTATCTTTTCTTTTTGCTTTGGTAGGCACAGAATACTTCACTGAGTTTTTTTTTTTTTTTTTTTGCTTGCTTGCTTGTGTTTTTCTTAAATGCCAGATAAGATGCCTGTCTTCTTGCTTCTGTATATACCCACCTCTGCAGAGTTCATAGGGAGTCACTGTGAGTGTTGTACTTGAGAAGGAGAGGGAGAGATTGTGTGTCTCCCTGAACTGTGTATAGAGATGGCTTAGATACAGCACTCGAAGCCTGATCTCACCACACCTGTGTGGTTTGCAAGGGCAAGAACAGTCTTTTACTACTAGAAGTACATCCCTGTGGGGGTTTTTCTTTTCAGGCTTTTTCAGGTCTGAGGATGAGATGAGCCTTCTGATTCGAAGCTTGGATGCCCTCTCTGGAAGAGAATGGCAGTAGAACTCCAGCCTCTTCTGTGTTATCTTTCAGTTTGCATTTCCCATTGTCTCTCTGCCTGCCCCATATCCATCACCTCCCTTATTCTGTCTCTGCAGTTTCTTTGTCCCATTTTGACCTTTATAAATAAAATTACACAATTCTCTTTTCATTAAGTTTTATTCTTGGAAGATTTCTCTGCCATTGTGTGTTAAAAGTTCTAGTTCTGCTATGTATGCTTAAAGGGGGTAAGGAAAAATAAGTACCTTCTGAGTGGAAGGAGGCATATGACCCCCCCACAACTCACAAAACTGGGTTCCAAGTATTTGACTTCTCATATACCTCAACATATCCCTGACACCAATGGCTAGTTTGTAGGTTGTTTTAAGACTTCCAGATTTCTAAGGCAAGATCCATTAACTATGCACCACAAAAGCATTCACCTATCTTAACAAATATTCCACTGGGGCCTGTGCTGAAGAAACAAGGATGGAATCTGGGTTTCCCTGTGCTATTCACCTTATGGAACAGCACCCGAATTACTCAGCCTAATCACCAATGAAAAGTCCTCAGCAAGGGAGTAAGTAAGTTCTATTCAATGACAAAATAAGTTACATTTGCTTAAAAAAATAAAAAAAAAAAAAACAAGCAAAACACACAATGGTGGTAGAGAGTTAGCCTAGAATGTTCAAAGGTTATGGCTTAACTAAATCCCTTCCAACAGTACACTTTTACAAATTTCATTAGATGAAATTAAAATAATCCTTTAGAATTCTACAAATGAAAAGCATTTTTCTTACTGATATTCTACAAGTTGACAGACACTATGGTGCAAATGCGTGGATAAAGAGAAGGCAAAGAAAGGAAAAATAAACCTTTTATGTATCCATGCTTTGAAAAAAGTGGAACTGCAACCATATACAATTTTCTCATTATAAAATATGGCATTTTTAAAGAAACACTCATCAGTCTGTGTCATCTGGCAGATGAATTATTGATGTTTTTGGCTCCAATGACCAGACTACCTCAAAGCTATCCATACTATATTGGTGTGTTAGAATGTGAGATTCACTATCCTATGGCCAGAAGCTGGTATTCTCATTTTCTCTTACATGTGTGCATGTGTGTACACCTCTGAAATAGTGAAAAAGTATCTCAACATTTTAATTTGCATTAGTATTTTATGGCAAGGTATTTCACACTGTTTTTGTTCTCACTAATTATATTGTGCCCTTGATTCTTTGATCCAATCACAAATAAAATTTAATTTTTTGCATTAGCGTATTTTCATTATACAAAGTGATGGTTTTCAAGTGATATTTTCATTTAAATATATCCTGTACTTTGATCTTGTCACTCCATTATACCGATTCCTGCCTATCTCTAGATAGTTTTGTTCCTATTCCAAATAGTTCCCTCTTCTAGTTTCATGTTTTATACATTTTTAAAAAAAAAAAAAAAAAAAAAAAAACAGACACAGGAGAGTGGGGAGGAGGGTGAGATGGGATTTGTCTTTGTAAGTCTCAATTATTTTGACTAATGTACTAATTCCCAGTTCCATTATCCCACAAATGGTGTAATTTTGTCCTTAGTATCTGAATAAAACCCTATTGTGTATGAGTGTGTGTGTGTGTGTGTCTGTGTGTGTGTGTGTGTGTGTGTGTGTGTGTATGTGTGTGTGTGACTCATTCATTTGTTGATAGAAACCTAGGATGGATCCATAACTTGCAGTGCTGCAATAAATATGGAGGAGAACTAAAACTTTAAGAAGGGTCTGGGAGACGGCTCAGAAAATACATGGCTGCCTATACAAACAAGAGGATCTGGGTTCTGAGCTGCAGCACACAGGAAGTATAAGACATAATGTACTGCATGTCTTATCTCCAGTGGTGGGAGGCAGAGACAGGTAGATTCTTAGAGATCATGGAACAACCTGTCCAGACAATCAATGTACCCATGAGCTCCAAGCTGATAAGCAATACATGCTGTGACATTGCAGCACTTACACAAAGCTGAGGTGTCTCTTTCATTCTCAATGGCTGGCAAGCCCAGCTCCCTCATAACCATACCAAAGAGAAC